TTCTATGGTTTCCGTTTGCCCTTAGGAAAAAGGATGCAAACTCCTTAGCCTGGCTGCTGTTAAGAGTTTTCCACAACTGTCTTTTTCCCTCTCAATTCTTCCCCAAATGGACTCTATACAGGATCAGCTGGGCCATTTTATTATTATCCAAATATAAGTTGTTCTTTGCTATATTCATTCTGTTAAACATGCCAATCTGTTATCTTGCAAACACCCCAGATATTTCCACTAAAAATAAAATGGATTGGTAGAAAAACTGTTGTGAATATGTGGCTGCCAGATATGGCAAACTCTTCGTACATAAGCCTTGTTTAACTTGCTAAACAGTTTCATCATAAAGTGTTAAAGAACAGTGAATTCAGAACACTAAGCAGGACTAATGTGTCAGGCCTGATGCCATGAATGAAGCGTAGTCCTTGTTCTCAAGACACCAAAGTTTAGAGCCCAACCAGGTAACCGAACTCTGCATCACTCAACACTCTCCATACTCCCTTGTTCACTCACTCGGTCTCTCACTAAACTTTTATTGAGCAGTTATTGGACATGCATGATTCATCAAGTCCAGTCTTGGCCACCTGGCACCTGAACTGACAATGCTAAATGCAAGCAATGGCTGGGGTTTGCAGGGCGCTCTGGGGGCTCAGACCAGAGGCACAGAAGCAGGCAGGGCTGAGGGAGGAGGAGGCCCCCTGGAGGAAGGTGCTGGTGAAGTCTGATCTTTAAAAATTTGGTGGAGGTAGCCAAGCAGGTACACAGAGAAGAGTCCAGACTAGATTTCCCACATCAGCTATTTCATCTGTTGTTATTGCTTTTGGAAGCACCACACTTGCCCAAGAATGAGGAGGCGAGGGATGGGGTGGGGCTGGAGGATGGAGGGTTGGGAGTGGTGGGAGGGTGAGGGATGTTGTAGAAGGGGTTGGGGTTACTTTTTCTTGATTTTCTTTTTACTAGATGGCATGGCTTGACAATGTACCTTGTTCTTTATAGCATTTTGTCCTAAGTGATAGCCCAAGGTAATCATGGTCCAGTGGGACTATGAGATTCCTAAATTCATGCCCATGGTATTGCTGAGTTGAGAACTAACTATTTCATGAAGGAGAGGAAAAAAATTCAACTGTGAAGAGGCTTAAAGGAAATGCCAAAGTGGTGGCTTGGAAATGCAAGCCAATGAATTGCTTCAAAAATGATCTTTGGGCTATTAGTATCATGGAATGCATCAGAGACAGGATAGAGTTAGAAATGTACACTTTAGAGCCAAACTTCCTAAGGTCAAATCCCAGCTCTGACAATGCCTAGCTGTGTAAACTGGTCATGTGTTTAATATCTCTGGGCCACTTTCTTCATATACAAAATGGGGAATAATAATAATAATAATACCTACCTCACTGGGCCATCATTAGAAGGAAAAAAGGAAACAGGAGGAAACTGCTTATGTGTGTGATGCAGACTTTCTATCATCACTAAATCAATAAGTGGCTTCCTCCAGCGAGATTTTGTCAAGTCCCATAGCAAATTATGGTTTCCTAGTTCTCAGGGTGGAGGACTAGGGAGGGAATGTGGTGGACCCCATCCAGGTCACCTTGGGCTCCCCATGGCCCCTTCAGGAGCTAATGCCACAGTTGTACTTTTTTTTAGAACAGACATGTTTACAAACTGCCCAAGAGCTGAAGTAGTTGGGAAAATATAGTAGCAATCCATTTCTCCCCACATCATGTTCAGTTCAAATACCCACAGTCATCTTTCCCAGCCTCTTTACTTACTCCTTGCCAAAAAATACCCACAGGTTTTCCTATTTCTTATTGAGCCAGTGACTGCACTACCTAATGCATCTCATTTTATGTGAGCATTACTTACCTTCTGATTTCATTTCTACCTTCCTCCAGTCATAGATCCCTTCCCTTTCTAACTGATGTGATAAACATTAGATAGTGTATCTGATGTGTACCTCCTTGAAATTTCTCAGGAAAATTATGAATAGATGAACAGAAGATATGAGACTCCTGATAAGGTTGGTCCTGCTTATTTTGTTTTCTGCCCATTTTTATATAGAGGAAGATAATTCATCATTTGAGTATAAACAGTACTCCCAACAAAGTCACACAGCCACTGCCTAGCATGCCAGATGATCCACCTAACATAAATTATAATAAGTAGTGATTTCTATGGCCAGCTCTAGGTTGTAAAACACATCGCTGGATGTTCTACCTGATAAATGCTAAGGTCCCAGAGAGGAAATTAAATGTCATGAAATACCCTTCATCACGGGAGCTGGCAAACTGTTCTTCAGAGAATACATAGCAGCATAAAGTGTATCATATGAGGGAGAAAGAAGAGCACATAAAGAGCATAGTATGGAGCCTGAGTTCTAGAAGGACTTTCAGGGGTGACTTGAGTCTCTAGTACTGAACTAAATTTACAGAAATGGGGGGAGAGACTGCTTGATTTTATTTTGCCTGTCCCTCTACTAGAGAAGGGATTATATACCTAAATCAAGGCAATCTCCAAAAGATATTCTCTGCTTCAGATTTTGGCAGTTTGTCCTATTTTTCTTCACCTGCCTTCCCAAGAGCTCATATTTTTTTAAACACCATCCTGGGGGTGCAGGACACAGAGACATGTGCAGAGGGCACAGCTCTCAGGGCTGGGGTGGGTGGACAGTGGTGAAGGCCTGGTGGTGAGGCCATGAGGTGGGGAGGGTAAAGGCAGCATACATGTGCCAGCCTCGCCACAATTGTATTTTACACAGGAAAACCTGATTATGGGACTATGCCCCCAAATAACAAGAAAGAGTACAGAAAACTAGGCATGGGGTAGTTGAGAACCAGGAATATAAATACTATAAGTATCAGGATCCTTCAATATGGAGAGTTTTTATCTTGCTCTTCTCTTTTAACCTTCTGTCATAAGAATTTCCCCTTATCAAACATTCTTTGAAAATGTGCTTTTTAATAGCTGAATAGTGGCCAACATATGAAAATATCAGTGTTCTTGATCATTTCTTTCTATGAGATACTTAGGTTGTTTCTCACTGGGGAGTATTTACTGAGACCTTGGTGAATATTGTCATATCATAGCTTTGTCCCCAGCTCTAGCAGCATAAATTTCTAATAAATAGAATGACTAGGTCAGAAGTTATATTCATTCTTTCCTCAAGTTATTAAATTATAACAACAAGCACTGTTGGAAAAAACACAGTGGACATCTGATAAGCCTACAAGTCACCTGGCAGAAGCAGAAACGTGAGGCGGAAGTAGAGTGGCAACAAGCTCACAGGGCCACGGGGTGGCCTGCAATATGACCTGCAGGGAGAAGGGCGGAGGCCTTCCTGGTGAGTCAGGTGTAAACAGATTCTAAGAGAGTCTCTGTTGCTTTAGGTGTATAACTGGCAGGCTCCTTAGGCTCCCAGTTTTCCCCACCCTTCCGCACCAAGAAAGCCTGAAAGCAATTGGCACCTGCTTCACCTATTCCTATAGTGTCATATCTGCCAAAGAACCCAGGGTCCCCTCAAGCTGTGTAAGAGTTGCAAAGGATGTTTACATTTACGTGTTATATGTAAATCTCTAAAGTTGAAAACAATATCTTTGGGATCTGGGAGTAGAACTATATGTTAAGGCACAGTAAGTTTGTGGAATTATAGTATCAAGGCTACACCAACACTTTTCAAAATACCTGGTGAAATTAAACTAAGGACTTGGAGGCTTCTAGGGAGTCTGTTCTTTAAAAAATTTAAGGATGTGGTTTTGTCTAAGTGTTTTCACACTTAGACGTGTGCAGTTTTGTATTTGGCTTCTTCTGAGAAGGTGTCTTTCAAAATAGGCTGCCAATTACAAGATAAAAGACACCTGTCCCTTCTGCCTGCATGAGCACGTCCTAGACTGAATTAGTTAATCAACAAATGAGATCTGGTTTTAGCCTAGAAAGTAATTGTTTCTATGCTGTAGTTTCCAAACTTCACTTCATAAGCCGAGTCAACAGCAGAACAGGGGCCGTGAGGAATTCCTACACTTGCAAATTCTTATATCCTGCAGATGGAATTAACATGTTCTCTTGTACACAGTAAAATGACCACCAACAAGCAAATACCACTAGGCTTACTTCATGAATTTTGGGGAGATGATCCCAGAGTAGGGGTTATTTTTTGTTGCTATTATTTTTTGAGGGATAATTTACATATCATGAAATTAAATATTTTTTTCAGGTGTATACTTCTCTGTATTTCAACAAACTTAGCTCTGTAACCACCATCACAATCAAAACTCCCTCACATGAGAGAGGTCCCTTGTGCCCCTTTGTAGCCAGTCCCCTCCTTCCTTTACCCCATCCCTAGATTTCACCAATCTGGTTTCTGTCCCCATCATTTTGCCTTTTCTAGAAGGTCATATAAATGCAATGATACATTAAATAGCCATTTATGTGTGGCTTCTTTCACATAGCAAATTCTTTTGAGACTCATCCATGTTGTTGCACATATTAGCACTTCATTCCTTCTCATTGCTGAATAGTATTCCGTTTTTGGATTTGCCACAATTTGCTTATCCATTCAGAGCTGAGGGACATTTAGGTTGTTTCTAGTTTTTAATAAGAATAAAGCTGCTATTAAAATTTGCTTATAAATTTTTGAATAGATATCTTCTTTGTTTCTCTTGTCTAAACACCCAGGAGTAGAAATCCATCATACATGATACACATATTTCACTTTATAAGAAACTTCCAAAGCGGCTCTACCATTCCCACTAGCAAGATAGGGTAGTTGCAGTCCCCACATCCTCTTTAGCACTAACTTGTCAGTTTCCTTGATCTGAGCCATTTTAGTAATAGTAACTCTTGATCTGGGCTGAGCTATAAAAATCAACCCTTCTGCTAGCTGCATATATGTGGTTGACTATGTCCCCCCAACATTCACATTCACCTGGAACCTCAGAATGTGACCTTATTTGGAAATAGGATCTTTGTTTATGTTAAGTTTAGATCAAGTCTTACTAGATTAAAGTGGGCCTTACTTCCAAGAACTGGCGTCCTTATAAGAAGTCCATGTGAAGACACAGAGACACACAGAGGACACCATGCAATGCTGGAGGTAGCCAGTGGAGTTGTGCTGCAAAAAGCCAGGGAACGTCAGAGACCACCAGAAGCTAGAAGAGACAAGGAAGGATTATTTTGTTCTTAGAGCCTCTGGAGGGAGTGTGGCCCTACTGACATCTAATTTCAGGCTTCTAGCCTTCTAAACTGTGGGAGAATAAGTTTCTGTTGTTGCAAGCCACCCAGTATGGGGTAGCTTTTGACAGTAGCCCTAGGAAAACAATACATGCTATGAATACAATTTACAAAATAAAATAGTTCAAAGCAGCTTATAAGGTTATATTTGAATTACATAAAGCTTTCTGAGAATAAAAGCAAAATTTTCTGTGTGGAAATATAGTTCATTCGCAGCCTAAATTACTAATGGGCATAAAACTACTTGAAGTTTTTGAATAATCTACAATTCAACTTTTCACACACAGGGGTAAGCTTCTGCTAATGAGTCCAAATTAGTGAAGGACTACTGTTTATCAAGAATTAAGGTCAGTCCAGAACCACAGTCCCCGTGGTTCCTAACCTGTGGCTGTTGAACATGTGAGGCCTGTGTTTTGCAGACTGTCCTATAAAGGATTCAGAGATAACCTTTCTTTTAGTTTAGTCATTTTGGTATAATGTGTTGCAATCACAGAAAGATTTTTTTAAATTTAAAATAATTTGTTCATTTTCCCTACCATGTGGTATATCTGTTTTGAAAACGAACGTCTCTGGCAGAGCCAGTCTTGGTTATTTCATAATGAACAGATCAGATTTCAGTTTTAGCACAAACCTCTTTCAGCTCCCAAGGAAGAAAATAATCCAGCCCTCAAACCCCTATTAGACTTTGTTGAGCATGCAGAGGAATGCCTATCCCCACCCCAAAACCCATGAAAGCAGTTGATGCTCCTGTTACTCCATTATTCAGAAAAATATTATTAGCTCAATGACAATTATAATAATTCAGTAATAAAAAAGGAATAGCTACAATCAATAGCAGGTTGTGGCTTATGCCACCATAATCTGTTGAGTAGTTATTGCAACTGGACAGAAACTGAGGCCACAGGCAAGCTAGGGGGGCTGGGATCAATGTGTGAACAGGAATTCCATGTTTTTATGACTATTCCTCTACCTACACCATTTAAGCCAGATTTTTTTCCCCATTAGCAACATGAGTTATTTAACAAAACCATCAGCTGAATACTAGAGGTCGTTATATGAAAGTCTGGAAAGTGTCTCTGGCCCACTTACTGAGTCCCCCTGAGGTTTTTTTCCATGCTGTGCTCTGTGGTTAACAGCTACACCATGCCTATGTCACTGGGGTAGCTGGTGAATACAATCCTGCCTTCCATAAAAAGTTTGCAGAGCAAGGCAGTGTCATCTGAACAGAGTCCAGCAATGTTCAGTGAACCAGATAAAAGGCTGGTTTTCACCCCTGCTCCCTGATCTGCATAAGCTGTTCTCTGAGTGTTTGGGAGAACATAGGGTTGGCCTATTTGTTGGGGACAAGGACTTATATCAGATCACCCCATTCTAAGTTTGGGCAATTTCAAAGGACAGGGCTTTGGGGTCTTGGAACAAACTGTATAACTTCACTGTTACTGGGTCTTGCTAAACTCAAAAACCAGCAGCCCCCACCCCACCCCAATCCCCATCCTACATGTGGAAAACCACAAACTCAAGTTACTACCAAACAAAGGTGGTAGCAAAGTGCCCAGATGCCCTTTGGGATGGTGTGACCCAATTAAAAGGGACTGGTTGGGGTAAAGATTGCCCCTCTATGAGAAGCTGAAAGAGAAAAAACATGATCAAAATCTTTGCCTGGTTTAATCAAATATCATCAGGAATGTCTATTTATGTTACAGTTCCAGTACACCAGACTCCAACAACCAAGTCCCCAGTTCTAGGAACCAGGGAATGTGAGCTCCACACAAAAGCCAAAGCCACTGGTTTTGCTCTTGTTTTATGGGCTAATAGTTGCTGAAACTTAAGTTGTGACAGCTAAGCAGATACTATTGCCCATTGCAGGGTGGTCAGAATTAGGCCTGGGAATTGTGTAGACAGACAAATCCTTTCAGGAGAGCTGGAAGTCAGTGCTATAATTTATGGTAAACAGAGTTGGGATCAAATTGACAAACTGTACGTGCCCACACTCCCTCTGGCCTTCCTATAAAGGATTCAGAGATAACCTTTCTTTTAGTTTAGTCATTTTGGTATAATGTGTTGCAATCACAGAAAGATTTTTTTAAATTTAAAATAATTTGTTCATTTTCCCTACCATGTGGTATATCTGTTTTGAAAACGAACGTCTCTGGCAGAGCCAGTCTTGGTTATTTCATAATGAACAGATCAGATTTCAGTTTTAGCACAAACCTCTTTCAGCTCCCAAGGAAGAAAATAATCCAGCCCTCAAACCCCTATTAGACTTTGTTGAGCATGCAGAGGAATGCCTATCCCCACCCCAAAACCCATGAAAGCAGTTGATGCTCCTGTTACTCCATTATTCAGAAAAATATTATTAGCTCAATGACAATTATAATAATTCAGTAATAAAAAAGGAATAGCTACAATCAATAGCAGGTTGTGGCTTATGCCACCATAATCTGTTGAGTAGTTATTGCAACTGGACAGAAACTGAGGCCACAGGCAAGCTAGGGGGGCTGGGATCAATGTGTGAACAGGAATTCCATGTTTTTATGACTATTCCTCTACCTACACCATTTAAGCCAGATTTTTTTCCCCATTAGCAACATGAGTTATTTAACAAAACCATCAGCTGAATACTAGAGGTCGTTATATGAAAGTCTGGAAAGTGTCTCTGGCCCACTTACTGAGTCCCCCTGAGGTTTTTTTCCATGCTGTGCTCTGTGGTTAACAGCTGCACCATGCCTATGTCACTGGGGTAGCTGGTGAATACAATCCTGCCTTCCATAAAAAGTTTGCAGAGCAAGGCAGTGTCATCTGAACAGAGTCCAGCAATGTTCAGTGAACCAGATAAAAGGCTGGTTTTCACCCCTGCTCCCTGATCTGCATAAGCTGTTCTCTGAGTGTTTGGGAGAACATAGGGTTGGCCTATTTGTTGGGGACAAGGACTTATATCAGATCACCCCATTCTAAGTTTGGGCAATTTCAAAGGACAGGGCTTTGGGGTCTTGGAACAAACTGTATAACTTCACTGTTACTGGGTCTTGCTAAACTCAAAAACCAGCAGCCCCCACCCCACCCCAATCCCCATCCTACATGTGGAAAACCACAAACTCAAGTTACTACCAAACAAAGGTGGTAGCAAAGTGCCCAGATGCCCTTTGGGATGGTGTGACCCAATTAAAAGGGACTGGTTGGGGTAAAGATTGCCCCTCTATGAGAAGCTGAAAGAGAAAAAACATGATCAAAATCTTTGCCTGGTTTAATCAAATATCATCAGGAATGTCTATTTATGTTACAGTTCCAGTACACCAGACTCCAACAACCAAGTCCCCAGTTCTAGGAACCAGGGAATGTGAGCTCCACACAAAAGCCAAAGCCACTGGTTTTGCTCTTGTTTTATGGGCTAATAGTTGCTGAAACTTAAGTTGTGACAGCTAAGCAGATACTATTGCCCATTGTAGGGTGGTCAGAATTAGGCCTGGGAATTGTGTAGACAGACAAATCCTTTCAGGAGAGCTGGAAGTCAGTGCTATAATTTATGGTAAACAGAGTTGGGATCAAATTGACAAACTGTACGTGCCCACACTCCCTCTGGCCTAAAGATACCATTGACTCCAAAAAAAAAAAAAACCTTGAAAAATCAATCATTTATAAGGGCAGAGAAGAAACAGGGCCACTAACAAACCAGAAGACTTCCTAAAAGAGAATATCAAACCTGAAGCATCACTAAATATTTGGAAACTAAAGCTAGAAGCTGAGTCTGGTGGCTAGATGCAACCATCAGAATAGCGGCTCAGCCTCTCCGTGCAGATTAACCTAATCTTGAACCTGGCTGGGTTTAATTTGTGCATTCTTGGGTGCCACACTACTGCAGAACCCTCAGAGACCTTACATCGCAAAACTGGACAAGGAACATTATGGCTGCAGAGCTGGCTAAATTAAATCCTTTTAAATTAATTTTTTTCTGAGGTAAGGCAGGTAACTGATAAAGAAAAAAAGAAAATTGCACTGTCCCTTCCACCCCCTGGGGTTTTCAGGTGTTCCTTACAGCAAAGTCCAGGGTATGGCGTCGCCAATTGTGATAAGAGAAATAAATTTTTTAAAAACCTCCAGATGAGAGTTAAGAGAATAAAAGTAGATTTCAACTAAAAAGGTGAGTTTTGGAGCACAGAAACCACTGGAGCAACGCATTATAATCTCGGAGTCACTGACAACAGCACAGCAGCCCTGTCCTAGAGAAAAGGCCACCGCAGGAAGGTCTTACGACAAGGCGGAAGAGGGTTCTCACCGAGAGTGGGACTCCTCGGTCCTCCGGCTTCCCCTCCTGCCCCGCGCTGCCCGCCCACCGGCCCTTTGCCCCCGCAGCACCGCCCCCTCCAGCCTCCAAACCAGGCAGCGCCCGCCCCCGCTTTCCCGGTCTACTGGCGGGGTGGCGACTCCCAAGATCCCTGCTATGGCGGTAACAGTCTTGCAGTAGCCAATGGGAGCCAGGGGCGGGGCCTGCAGCGGGGAGGCGGAGCTGGTCAGGTGCTCCGCGCCGAGATGCCGCGCAGGTGAGCGGCTGCGAGGTCAAGGCGTGTCCCACGCTACCGGTACGTCTCCGCTCTGGCCCCGGATCTGCGGGCAGGAGCCCCTCCAGCCCTCGCTCCCATTGCCCGAGCCAATGCGGAGTGGCCGGATCGCTGCGAGGGTGAGTCCGGGGGAGTGGGGCGGCTTGCCTCCCCGGGACCCGCACGGCCCCGTGCGCCTCCCGCAATTACCCGCTTTTCCACAGCGCGCGCGGCCTGTGTACACACACAGCCCACGTCGGGGCCTCTGCCCGCCTCGGTGGGCGGCCGCTCTGCGGACTGGGAACCTCCTTCCCCGCGGCTAGGACGGAATCCCAGTGGAGGAGGAGATGGGACGTTGCCTCATGACCTCTGGAGGTCTGTTCCCGCTCTGCACACCTTCTCCTTCACTTGCCGTCTTTTTGTTTTTTGGCTCCCCCTTCCCTCCAGATTTCCCAGGCTTCCTGTAGGGGAAGAATTACGGAGAAGGAACTGGAAATCAGCTCAGTGAAATCTGGACCCAGAGCTAGGGACTCTGTTACCCGGCTGAGTTGTTCTTGGTTCTTCTACCCGCTGAGACAAAGAATTGAAAGGCAGAGACAGAAGAGAGCAGTAGAGCGAAAGTTTTATGTGAATACACTCCAAGGGAGGAGTGGGCCAGGGTCAAGATAGACAAAGGCCTTAATCCCTTAGGTGGGAGGCCTTTGTATTACTGTCTGGCCGGGAGCGCGCATCTCTTTGACAAGTGGGGGTCATTTGATTGACAGGTCCGTCTACAGCCGCTCCTTCAGTGGGCATGCCCTTTTCCCAGGAGGAGGTGTGATTTGGGCCGTTCTTCTCTTGTGCCGTCTTGGGATCTGGGATCTGGTTGGGACCGGTTTGTCCTGATCCCCTTAGGCAAGCAAGTTACCTCCCTGCAAAGCCTTTGTTGTCTTCACCTGTGACCCCCCACCTGGGCCGAGTTAGGTTGGGTTTTTCTTTGAACTTCATCTTCCACTTTACGGGCTGCTCATGTCTGTCTGTCTACCTAATATTCCTAACAACTTTACTGCACTGTGAAGCATTTTGTACATGGAAAAGAAAACAATTTGAGATTTCCTTAATACCCACTTCCACCTTTCTGTTCATTGCTTTAAGTCATTGATGTGATAATGTTGGTTCTTTTTACCAAACATTCCTAAGCCTTTAGACAACACTTCGCCTTTAGTTTGTCCCAGGCAAGCAGCTGCTTATAGTTGCTGAATTAATTTGCTAAGAGGTAAGTCAGGTGTTTCATGAGCTGATTCATTTTTTTAGCCTTAAATTATTTTTGGTTCATATTAGCTTTACTTGTGTTCGGAAGGTGAGGGAGAAAGTGAAGCCACCAGCCTCGATATTGTTAGTAAATCAGTTTATTGAGACTCATTCTTACGGTTCCTTCATTAAGACTGGCAGTTGGAAACATTATTGCCTTTTGGGGAACAGTTTTTTAATTTAATTTTTGAACCATTGTCTGGATACCAATACTTAAAAACGATTTCGGTTTAAATAATGTTCTAGCTATGGTGAAATCATAGTTTCAAAAGACAAACAAGAATTATACATCTGAAAGGAAAGCAAGCCTGTCAACCAGTTTTTATTGACCTATACGTGTATATATATATATATATATATACACCAAGGCAAGACAGGGTCTGTTTTTGAGATTTAAAAATGTCCAAAGCATATTCAAATTAAGATGTCAAAATCTGAATTCAAGAGATTTTTCCTAGCACAAAATATGATTAGAACCAAGTTCTGGTGGGCTTAGGAATTATACCTTCATGAAAAAATGGACAGGAAAAGGGGAGAACAAACGACCCTTGTTTGATTTGCAAGCCGATGAGAACTGACAAAATACGCCTATGTATTGTTTACCCATATTGGTGCTTATTAGCTTTTTTGGAGAAAATCTTTTTAGAAATATATACAGGTTAAAAAAACAAAAACAAGGAGCCAAGAACCATGATCCAGAGAGATTATTTAATCGTGGGCAGTGCCTTTTCTAATGTATCACTGGTAAGATTAAATGTTGACAAATTTTAATGTTAAGAAGGTCAACATCAAATTTCAGAATTGTTTATACTTAGTGCAGAATCTAATTGTTACAAAGGCTATGCTTTAGTTATTACTAAGTGAATGCAGGTTACATTTCACAAATATGTTTGAATGTCACAGACTGTATGTCACTTTGCTAGGTAGAAAGATAGGTATCAGCAGCCAGGGAAGCGGCAGAAAAAATTCCTGACAAAATGCCCAGGTAGGGAGGTCCCATGGGAGGACAACAAAGCTTTGCAGGGAGATAACTTCCTGCCTATCGGACCAGGTCAAACCCATCCCAACCAGGTCCCAACACAGATGCAATTGAACAAAACAAAGAAGCACCCAAACCACACCTCATCGTGGGAAGGGACATGTGCACTGACAAGGATGGCTGTATAAATGGGCCTGTCAATCAAATGACCCCACCTTGTCAATCAAAGAGGCACCGCCTACCCAGGATGTATTATAAAGGTCTCCCACCCAATCAGGGCCTTTGTCCACCCTGACCCTGGCCTAGTCCTCCCTTGGAGTGTATTCAAATAAGACTTTCTCTCCACTTCACTATTATGGGTCCGCCTTGACCCACAACAGAACAACAACGCTTTTTTTAGAAAAAGCATCTGAGAGAATTCTAAGTGTGCTGTTCAATATTCTACACTGGTATCTATTGATTTATTCATTTAACTGATATTTCTAAGCACTTCGAAAGTACCTGGCATTGTTTGACCCTGCAGATCATATAGATAAAAGGACACGCTCCTCACTTTTAAAAGCTCTGTTACCCAGGGTGCCAAGTGCCCCGGGCCCTCTCCCCCACCACCGAACACCTCCCTTCGTGCATTAAGTATGGCCATTTCTTTTCTCCTCCGCATTCCCAACTGCTGGAGCACAGCCACCTGAATGGACACAAATTAGAGCAGCCTTTGTGATGGAGTTTACACGTTAGCGCTGAATCTGGGATTTGAATCTAGAACCACCTCACTCCAAAATCTGTTTTTCCCTTTCAATGCAATTCCATCTTTTAAACAATATATATGAGACATTCATTCAATTAGAAAAAAAAAAGGTCCGCGTTGTTTGACCTTGTGTCTCTCAGCACGACCTTCCAGACGTTTCTTGTTGATGT